GCGCGTCTTCCAACTCTTGTTCTTTCCCTCTCGCCATTCCGACGCAATTCTTCTTGTTTACTACTGGTGGTTGGCTTTGGTCGCAGTACCGCCACCTTCTGCTCTGGAGTGTAAACGCTTCGCCTATGAGAAAAAGGAGCAGCGCATGAACCGAATGAAACACACGCGAACCAAACCGAGACAGTCGAACCGAACGGTTCGGACGGTTTTCATAAATCGTCCCATCCCTAGTAGATGTAGTGCATAAATCAAGCCAAAAAGCAAAATGAATGTCTCTGTTAACTGTGCTATATCACATACCACAATCTCTCCCTCAATAACTATAGAATGTATTGCAGAACCAAACTTCACAAGGGAGACTGTATCATTCGAGACAGTGAGAACAGCTACAGTTGTATCCGAGAGGTCTGGCAGGTCAATGTCTTCTGCCTAAAGAACATGACAGTAATTAGTTAATGAGTAGAGCAGTCAATGAAAAACACTACATGTGTATTTATTATGAAATACCAGTGAATGAAAAGTTCAGGTAAAATTCCCAAATATGACATTCTTGGAGAATTACTGTAGTACAGTATGATTTAATAGCTTTTCTGGTGGCTAGGAAGAGGGTTGTGGTTGTTGTCTTTTGGCAGTAACAGAGGGTTAAATAGAAAAAAAATATATATAGAGACAACACAAACTAAGAAAAAGAAAGAGTAAAAGAGTACACACAGTTGAATCATAAACTTACATTCCAGGTCTTAAAAAATCCAGCAGCATCTTCACGCAGGAAGATGGGAAGTGCCTGCAGAGCAATTGTGAGTCTGCTGTTAACATCGACGTCTTCCTAGAAGACAGAGGGATTGTGGGTAATGGGAAGACAGAATTGCAGAATATTAATCATATGCATGTATTAAATAATACTATAGTACAAATTGTCATGAGGTAGGAAATGTTACATACAAGGAGATCATAGGTCCTGAAGATGTTTCTTAGCAATTCAGAAGTTTTGCCAGTGCGGGCCGCTTTCTCACAGTACATCGTCATTAGCCGTGGCATGTACTTATCAAATGCAGAATAAAATGTACTCTCTAAATTTATATTTGTTATTCGATTGAATTCTGCACAAATCTGAAAATGCAAAAAGAAAATTGGTCACAAACTTTGTTATAAAATTCCAATAAAATTTCTTTAGATGTTTCACTAAGATGCTTTAACATTAAATAACAAATTTGATCTTTCCCTGGTGTTGTTAATTTAATTGTCTGAAGTGCTCGATTTAATTCCCATTTTGTGAAAGGAACATTCAACAAATCATTTACATTCTCTGTCTTCTCTAATATCTGTCTTTTTTCTAATATTGTCATTTCTCTCCCCCTTTTTCCTTCCAGAGTAATATTATCTGAGCTATTTAAAGTGAGATTTGTGTTGTATAGCTCTAACTATAATATAAATATAGTGTACTTTTTCTAGATGTTTGTTAATTTGCATAGTTGCTCATAAATAAACACATTCTCAGAAAATAAATTGTTTTTATGTATGAGAAAAATACAAATCTGATTAATAGCTTCAATTATTAAACAATATTGGACCATGCAAAACACAAATTTACCTTCACAAAGCATCAGAAAGGCCACATTTATGTACAAAAAGTAAACCTATTCATGAGATCATGTTTTTTTTGATCATTATTATAATTATTTCATTTATAAAGTGTTTTTATAATGATTTTGTTGTTGGCATATAGATATACTGGTATGATAACTTATACATTTGATTGGTCTTTGTTATACGTTTATTTCGAATTCAGCCCCCCACCCCCCGCCACCTTGAGAAAACTAGTTATAAATACACCCAAACTGGAGTTCCTCAAGAGCTCTGACATTTTGCTTTCACAAAATAAAGAAAAACTTTCTAAAGTAGGCAAAACTGATCCCTTGTTGATTCTAATAAAAAAGGGTAATTCAAAAATAATGATGGGAAGATTTCTTTGCTTTGCTTTCAGTGATGAATCCGGTGTCGTAATTTAAAGGAATTTTGACTAGTCAAAATGTAATTTAAGATATCTTGAATTATTATTCTTCCTAATCAGAATGTAAATATAGATATCTTAAATTACCATTCCAGATAGTCAAAATGTGGTTTTGTCTAGTCAAAGGCTACGTTCACACTGCAGGCCTTGATGCTCAATTCCGATTTTTTTGTGAAATCCAATTTTGTCGTGTTGACGTTCATTTCAATCTGAAAAACTCACAGAGAGAGAAAGATGCAATTAGAAGAGTTTATTGATACGATAGTTTGGACTTTGGCGCTCAGGCCTCGGCAGGAAACATAAACGCTGATTTATACTTTAATGCAGATAAACTGATGAATGAGAATAAGGATATTCCCCCCGGGCCTGAAACTGGTGGTGGAGTTTAGATAGATGAAGTTTGGTTAATCCATAGAGGCTGGTATACAGGGTGATGCTTGAGTTAGATGTCACTGAATGAACAAAGTTTGCATAAACTGTCCATGAAGAGCAAGCATGAAGCGACTGTGGAGAGAAAAAACTCCCCTTTGGGAAGAAATCTCTGGCAGAACCAGGCTCAACGTGGCGGTCTTCTGCCGGACCGTTTAAAGTGACAGGGAACTCCATGAAAGTCTGGAGGGAGTACACACTGGAGGTGAGGTTGAAGGAGTATCGAGGAGGAGTCGGATGAGCTTACTACAATGGTGGAGAAGGGGATGGAGGTGGGTTGTCTGAATCAAAGTCCGACATAGGAGCGATGGATCTTGCACTTGTTGAAGAGCAGGCCTAGAGATGATTTGGAGTGGCTTTAAGTAGAGTGCTGGAAGATGATTGGGCATCGAGGAAGGTGGCTTGAAGCGGGTTGGCTGCGTCGGAGGCGGATCAGCCTCAGATTGAATGGAAGTAATCAGAGTTTCTTCAGTTGAATTTCCGCCTTAGCTTCATATTTCCAAATATATGCGACTTGTATGTGATCTCCTGTGTGAACTGCAGTCATACAACGCAAGTGTCCCGCATGCGGAGTAGAAGACGCAATGACGTCACAGGCCAAAGTGCTCTTTTTTTCCAGAAGTTAACATGAATGGTAGTGCCGGCGCGCATCTAGCGGTCTTTTCCAACCATAAAACTCAATCTTTTCAATATGTTTAAACATAAATACTGCTCTCCGCATCATCATCTGCCATGGTTGTTGTTTTTCTTGCCGCTTCTACGTAGCAAGATGCAGAATAGTGACCTTTGTCGGGTATTAATGACGTTCAGGTCAGATGAATCCGACCTGGCCGTTCAGACACAGGTCGCATTTGAAAAGATCAGATTTGTTTCAGATTCAGGACCACACAGCCAAGACTTGGCGGCTGGTGAAAAATATTTTTGGTGGGGCTGATATAGCCTAGTGTTTGTCTCCAACTAATCCAGAATAAGAATTCAAATAAACAATTGGAAATGAAATACAATTTAACAGTAATGATTTAATTTACTATATAATAACAGTAACAGTGATGATTTTGGTCACTGTGACAGGGTGCTCAAAAACTCAAAACAGGGTGCAAAAGAAACTAAACATATACAAGATACTCTGGGCCTCAGCCTCCCTCCAGTTACCAGCAATGTAACAAAGAAACAGAAAACAGAAATGGCCGCTCTTCTTCCCACAGCCCTCATTAAATAGTTTAAGCCCCTCACCTCAGGCTCTCTTATTTCTGATTTCTTCTCATAAAGTTTTGTCCATATATTACCTCCACAAACAATTGATGTACAAAAACAAATAATTTTACAACTTAATTACTTTACACAGATTCATTGACTTATTCAATTACACCAAACTGGGTTTGAACCCAGCAAAGACGCCGCCAGACTGAAGATGACAAGTCCCCGTAGCATAAACACGTACACACACACACCCACACACACACACACACACACACACACACACACACACACACACACACACACACACACACACACACACACACACACACACACACACACACACGGCTAACCCCACTGAAATATTAAGTGTGCACCCTCAATACGCCAGCAGGTAACCAGGAACAGCTTGTGTGTTTTAAGTTAATGGAGCTACTGGGCTCAGCGCGAGTGTATTGGTCCTCACAAGCACAGTATAACAAGCACAGAATGTGTGTGTGGCACGCAAAGTCAGAGGTTGTTTTAAGTGACGAGGTGGATTCGTCACAGTCACAATAACGACGACATGAAATTTTCATATCCTACAACAGGGATGTTCTTCTGGCAAAAGGGTAGATAAATAAGGATCTCACCGAATTTGGCGGAGGCTGCACCTCGCTCGTTACATTCGCCATCGTCCCTCTAATTGTCTGCACCTGCGCTTGGGTGCAGAAGCCTGTTAAAGGGCAGTATTTTCAGAGCCCCAAGACCATAAAATTCTGAGACGCTGATTGGCTATTAGATTATTAAATTCACCTAGCAATAGTACATGATTGGCAGATTCTCTGCAAATGTGGGGCAGTCTGATCAGAGCCCCAAGACAGAGACGGTAGGAGTCTGTCTGTGGAAATCCACCAATGAATGACAGTAGATAGGGAAATGTAGTTTATATCATTTGTTTTGCTTATAGGGACACACTCTAGACAGTAAAACTGACATTTATGAGTTAATTTCTAAAAATATATTTTACGTTTCTCTCTTCTTATCAGGGAGGGCGGTGCCCCAGCGCCCCCTATGGGCCGGCCGCCACTGAGCCAAGTGGCCTGGTATCACAGTTTGGGAACCCAAACTGTGATAGATTGAGAAATAAATCATTATTTGTCTAAATTATCCCCTTACTGCCTGATTTTATTTGCAATTATATAACAAAAACAGAAAACAGGAAAAAAAAATTCTAAATCTAAAAACGAAAAAAAAAAAAGAAAGTTAAATAGTGGATCTAGATTAGGTCAAATAAAATTTCTAATAATTCATGTAGTAAAGATAATGAAAAAAGATAGATTACTTAATAAAAATAAATATTTTTGTCTTCCTTTTTCTACAGGTCATAATGGCATGTGCTGTCCTGCACAACATCTGCCTGGGAGCCGGTGACCCCCCAGATGATGTCCCACTCGCAGTCAGAAGACTCCAAGGTCATCTGTGTGGCATCCCATCCAGTCCAGCAGCACCCCCAGGGACTCCTGCTCAGTCACAATTGTGTAATTATATATATATATATATATATATATATATATATATATATATATATATATATATATATATATATATATATATATATGTTCTCAAGTAATATTTATTGTATATCTTCCATAAATAGTTGTAGTAGTTAAATTTAAAATCTAATGTAGTTAAAAATGTTTTTAATAGTTTATTGTAAATACTTGCTTCTCTAAAAAATAAACTGATGTTGTCACTGAGAAGTTGTTCTAAGTTTACTTAAATTGTAAAGAAGTGATAAAACGGATAATGTAAAAAGGTTAAAAGACTTTATGTCATGATAGGTTCACTGGTGTTACCCAATAATGCAGAACACCACGGAGACGGAAACAGAAGTAAAAGGTTTAACAGAGTTTATTGTCACAAGCACAGTGAGAATGACAGGTTCTGGTTCAGGCCTGGGGAACTGGTTCACTGGAGTCTGCGTGAGAGACAGTTCAGTTAGCGTTTGCGCAGAGGAGTTTGATTCTTGACTGTTTCAGATTTGTACCTTGAGGGTTCTTGGTTAAAACCTTGAGAGGGAAACTGTTGGGCCCGGAGATGGTTTGTTCAGCAGAGTCCGTAAGCTGCTTCAGCGTCTTACTTCTTGAGAGTGAGCAGACCTTGGCTTTGAGTTTCCAGCTCTTGGTCCAGAGCTGCATGCAAGTCCAGAGAGAGGCTTCAGGTTTTGCTCAGAGGGCAGGCTCGGCAGGTTAAGCTCTTCCTGAGCTTCACAGGAGAAAAACAGGTTTCCTGGAAGACAGAGACAAAAGTTAGAGTCCAGTCTGGATTCAAAAGTCAACAAAGGTTCTCAGTGATACTAGGCTTAGGTGCTAACCAACTGGATCAACACTGCGGCGTTGAGGCAAGGTCTGAAGACAGCTTAAGTACTGTGGATCCTCTAATGAAGGAATGAGCTCCAGCTGTGCAGGAGGCTCGACTCAGGAGGATCCACGGCGGACTCTGCTGGAGGAAGGTGGTACTTCTCCAGCTCCCAACACTTTAAGAACACACCGACAACAACAACTTTTATAAAAAATTGTATAATTTAATTTAATAACAGCAACACAGAACCTCAACTTGTAATAGACAAAAAAACACCAAAGAAATCAACATCTGTCCATCATCCTCTCCATTAAATGAAATAATCTGTCCATCCTTTCCCGCCTCCCTCTGCCATCTGATATCCTCCCTGATTAAATCCACCAACTCGTCCCTCCTGCTTCTCTTCCTCCTTTCCCTCCTCTCTCATCCTCATTCTCTTCCTCATCGTCACCCTGATGCTGCTCAGCCTCTGCAGCACCTGGCCCTGCTGTGTCCTCAGGGATGGAGGCAATTAGGACAGGTGGGGCAACAGAGGGCCTCTGTCCTAATAACTCATCCATGAGGACAAACCAGGCCCAGGTGGCGGCAGTAGGGTTCCGACTGACCCCCTGCCCTGTCCCTGGATCTTTGTATTCTTAAAGTGGAGGAAAACAATTTGTGTCAACAGATGCAATTTTCTGTAGTGTTTCTTTAAAGCTAGAAAAAAGGAATGTTTCATGAACTGGATGGATTGATGAAATTCTACAGAAAAAGACGACTTTGGAATGATAACCTGGAGAGGAATTTTTTCAAGCTTACTCAAAGTGTTTTAATGTAATATTATATTCATTATTGGAAAATGATTTATTCACAAGTGCAGATTCTTTAAAATGTCTCCCAATTTCCAAGCAAAACGTTTTCATGACTCAGTTAAGTTACTGGAAAATAAGAAATCCTTCAGGTCTTCAGATTTTATAGCAGTATACTTTAGCTAAACCCCTGTGTTACTTGTTTTATTTTGTTTTTCTTTTTTTTCTATTTTTTCCTTTTGATTCTTGTTAATTTTTTGTCTGTTTAAGTTTATAGTTTTTTATCTTATAAAAACCATTATGGATTGCATCTGTTCAATTGTACTTTTCTGGTGTTTGAAATAGTATTTTGAATTTGTTTAAATAAAAGTTAAAAAAAAAATGTAAGTGTGAATCAGACATGAAGCGGAGGTGCGCTTTTATTTTCAGAGGAGCTGAAGGAGGGTGCTGTAATGCTTTGTGCCGTCTAGCAAGTCAAAATCAAAAGCTAGCTGGCTTTACTATAATTTTTGAAGAGGCAGAAAACTTTACCACAGTATTAAAAACTGATTCTGGTTATTACCTGAACCGGCCCGGGCTGCGGAATATTCATTGTTTCCAGATCGGACATGGGTCGATATTAACACTTTCAGCTCCTCTAATCCGTTTTTAAGTGCGTTGTGTGTGTCGGCAGAAAGTTGATCAGAAATTCTTTGCAAATTTCTCAAGCATTCTTCAAGAATGCTTTTTTTCTCGCTCTCCGCATAACCCAGAATGAAAAACTCTTTTGATATTGTGGCATTTTCTCACAATTTTGTCCAAAACTGCCAGCACCATTGAATCTTCAGGGAATTGTTTAAACAGCTTAGTACAGCCAATAAGAGGCTTACACGCAATGTCTTACTTTAGATATCTAAAATTGTAATACTGACTAGGCATAATTACGTTCGAGATATCTGAAATTATAATTACCGATGTGTGACGCTTTAAAT